ACTCAAAAAATTTACAAATAAGTTGTTTACAAAACGCACAAACCAAACAGCTGAACTGCTTATTCAGACCAGGGGCAAAAGGGTCAATTTTTCACAATCAGCTGTTTTCCAGACGCGTTAACCAAACAGCCAGACAACTTATCCGGATCAGCTGGTCATCAGCAGATTATCAAGATAAGCTGCTTATCAGCAGAAGCTGGATAAGCTGCAGCTGCCCCAAACAGACCCTTATAGTCAAACTGATCAACTCGATGAGACGGACCTAATGATATGAAAGTCAGTCCAATTCGAGTCAAATCAAGCCCGAATCAAATTATTAAACCAATATTGGCCATTAAACAACTATTGGAGGATTTACAGAGGAATTTGAAAGGTCAAATGAATGTCGAATCTAGCGAGTTCAAATCGAGCGTCTCGACAAGACGAATCCAACGAGCCTAAGATTGCTCAATTCTGACATCGTTAAGGCACTCACTTGTCCATCAAACGTCATCCGATCAAGGGAAGCTCTCCGGACCGTCTAATTAAAATGGTTGATATTCCTGCATTAATTGCACTCAAAACACTATAAATAAAGCCTCACCCCTTACATGAGGGGGGAGAAGCTTAAGAGAGAACTTGAGGCTTTGAGAAGTAACTCAAGTCCAAGATCATCCTCACCATCGTCAATCATCGTTGACCACCACTGATCGTCGACCACCGCCACCGACCTTTGTCTACCACCGTCGGCCACAGTTGATCGCCATCGATCACCGCTGACCTCCGTCGACCACAACCGATCATCATCGATTGTCGTTTACAACCGTCGATCACCGTCGACCTCCATTGAACACCGTTAACTAGATGTCGTCAGTCGACGTTGTAACCTGGAAAGCTAATAATCCTTTCCCGTCTGTGGGACAAGTGGCATCTGTAATCATCAACTTATAGTGAATTTTTACAACTGGGCCAGGCTTCATGATTTTTCCCCTTTACGGGTTTTCAACGTAAAAATTTTTGGTGTCATCACAACTTGATTCATTTTCATCTGAGTGCGTGTTGAATCCTTGCGCAACGCTAAGACGATAATCCCTAAGACGATAATCTATTCTACCGCCGCGAATTTTCTAGCACGCATCAAGGATCATTTGAGTTGTCTTCACCTTCATAATTATGACTCTCATTTACTAACGTGGTGTGTTGGAGGCCAAACATGAACTCTCATGGCAACAACTCCTCCAAACATTATATCAAGTTTTTCTTATAATTCAGGATCTACACCAACATATCTAATTTTTTGGCTTCATGCAATATCTATAATAAAAAAATAATGTAAATGTGAATATTAGGTAGGTACTCATGCATATGTATTTAAAAAGATGATGACTAAGTTTTATCTTTACTTTTTTTCTTTCCACCACTTAGGCTGAGGCATCAATAGTATTTTTAGTTGTCCTAGCCTAGCCAAGTTGCACATTGGTTTAACTCCCACATCTTCAAATCCCTTTCATAAGCCATCCCATTTATTTTTTAACTAAGTCATATAAATATTCACTCGCAAATTTTTCCTTACATTGTTTAATTACATTTTGCCACCCTTATTTATTAAAATACATGATAGGCCGATTGCCGGTCTATATCTCTTGAAAGCATATATCACAAAACATTATCTTAATATCTCTCACTAAATTAACACATATATCATCTTTAGATTTTTTTCATCACAAAACTATGTAATATGTTGAAATGTCACATAACATATCAAACTTACTAACACCTACATGACATAGTTTTGCATGATACCGTAAGAAAATTATGTGAGCTTAAACAGAAACTTTCAGACATATCACACGATTATGATGTATTTACATATCTAACAACTAAATAGCACAATACTATTTGATATTTCAAGAAAATATTGAGAGAAATAATATCTAAATTTTCGAACATACCACTAGGGGTGTAAACGAGCCGAACACAAGCGAGCCCAGGCTCAGCTCGTGTTGGACTCGTTTATCTGTTGAGCTCAAAAAGTGTGCTTAGCGAGCCGAACATGAGTCATTCACAAACAAAGAGTCATTTTGACAACCCTAATCACGTAGCCATCAGATGTTAATGATTGGTCATTTGAATTTAATTTAATAATTTTTATTCTATTTTCTTCATTAATACTTTTAATTGATTTTAAATCTTTGTAGCCTTGTAGTCAACTAAAATTTTAAAATAGATTACTCATCAAAGATATCTATGTAATCGATTTGTAGTATTTCGAGCCAAAACGAGCCGAACACGAACAAACAAATATTTTTTTGTGTTGCTCGTGTTCGGTTTGTTAACTTAGCGAACGAGCCGAACACAAGCTGTTCGCGAACAACGAGCCGTTTTGACAGCCCTACATACCACATAATTCTAATGCATTTACATATCTAACATGTAATAATAATTAAGATTCAACACAGAAAGTGAGGTGAGCAGCATATACAGATACTGTTGGAATATAATATTTTTTGGACTTGTTCCTTGTTTATTTATTATATATCATGATATACATCATACATATATAAATTATCACTAATTAAACATCATTATAGAAATAATAGGGCTTTTTACATATAGACCGCTCAAAATTTTAAATATAATGAATTAATCACTGCTCCTTCGAAGGGAAATTAAGTTGTGAGCAGTTAAAATGTAAATTTTAAATTTAGGCGGCCAAAATGTTATATTTAAAAAATTTTAATGATTGATACCTTAAAGCCCCATCATTAGGGCTGTCAATACGGCTCGTTGTTCGTGAACAATTCGTGTTCGGTTTGTTAAGAAGTTCGTGTTCGGCTCGTTCGCTAATTTAACGAGCCAAACACGAACAATATTTGTTCGTTCGTGTTCGGCTCGCTTTGGCTCGAAATACTACTAATCAATTATATATATATATATATATTTGATGAATAGTATTTTAAAAAAATTTAATTGACTGCAAGGCTACAAAGATTTATAATCAATTAAAAGTATTAATGAAGAAAACAGAATTAAAAATTATTAATTTAGATTCAAATGATGATTTGAATCTTGCCCCAATTCGTAACATTTTATGGCTATGTGATTAGGGTTGTCAAAACGGATCTTTTTTCGGGAACGGCTCCTTGCTAAGCGAACGAGCCGAACAAGAACACACTTTTTGAGCTCGAAATATAAACGAGCGAACATGAGCTAAGCCTGGGATCGCTCGCGTTCGGCTCGTTTACACCCCTACACATAATGCATCACATTGACCGCTTAATCAGATCTCGGTTGAACTTTCGAATGTTAAATATTTAGGGTATTTACATACATACCAACGAATTCCTATGTACTTACATATCAAACACATATAATTCACTTTTTACATTTAACCAACCAAATCTTTCATATAACATAAAAATATTATTATTTTAACTTTTAAAAGGTGAAATGCATCATTTTCATTTATAAATAAGGTTGCATATGCATATATGTTAAAATTGCATTTTAGATGTTAGATATGAAAATGCATAGGAATTCAGCGGTATGTATGTAAATCTTACTAACTATTTTCTTTCATTGAACATATTCTAAACATCTAATATAAAAGAATGCATTGTTATGAACAACACTAAATCAAGGCCCCGCATCTCAACCAGACCGCAAGATATACACACATCAGGCAATAAACATCCTTGAACAATAAATATTTTTCATTGATTAATTCAACAGCGTCGAACATTTTCTTTCATTATTATTATTATTAAAAATCAGGCTAAAATGCAACATAATAGCAAAGAAATAGAACAACGAAGGGTACATCAAGGCAATTGTAGTATCCAGTTCATAGTATGAGGCAGAGAATTCAGAACACAGAAACCATACTGGCTGACAAACATCAGATTAGTCAAGAAAGCCACTGAAGGTGTTAAAGTGCAAAAGAATTTGGCTAAGTTTGCAACCAACATCAAAATAGTTGCAATTGGGAGTGAAATGCTTGATAAGGGAGAATAATAAAGGGCATTCAAAGAAAAGACAAGATTGTGATTTATGTTGGTTGCAACAAAAAAAACACAAATAGCATTAAAATGCAAGCCTCTAAATGAAATAACATCTTTAGTTTTCAATCTATCAATCATAATTTTCCAACTCGTGATAGCATACTTAAAGGAGCAGCTTTTAAATCAAACCAGTTTGCACCAATCCACCTAAGGAACATTCTCATAAGAATAAGAATAAACAAGGCTGCTAGAGAATAAACTGTTATATTTCCACAAGCCATGATTGTTAGTATTAATAATAAGAATAGTTTAAATAAGTTGAATACAATAGTTAGTTGTTGTTTCAATGGTGGGCAAACATCATTTATTATTCACAATAATAATAAAAAAAAGATTGTTGTTGATTGTGGTTGATATTAATGCTAAGATATTCCCACCATACGGATTTCATAGTAACACCAAGCATGCCACCAATTATTTATTCAAAATTTATACAAATCACTGCTAAATCTCCCCTTTTTTTTATAAAGTGAAGCCTCATGTCTACAATCAATGATTAGGCCCTACTTTTCAATAATTAAATTATTAAGATAGCTTTCTATACTTCAAAAAAAACAAAGGACATAGGAAACTAAAATGATAAATATTCCCATGAATATACATAAGAGAAATAGGAATGAGTTGACCTAAATACGGAGTTTTCTTTCCGAGGTAAAGATGCTCTTTGCCAGAGCTGAGGACAAGCAGAATAGACCTTTCGCCGTTGCATTTTGGCTCCTGTGCTGCTTATGTACAGTGCGAGTGGTTTAATTCCAATAAAAAATCCTTAGGAAATTGTATGTAGTATAGTCACCAACTTGGCTTTCCAAATCAAATTTGTTTCCTTTTCATAAGCACTGTTTGTTAGAAGAAGCTCCTTCTCTTTATGTCTTCAGTCAATGCATGAACCCTCATCAGCATCATCAGAGATTTTCACTGATAAATTACTGCCATTCATCACCTACTGAATTCCAGCTTTGGAAAGTAATCCAATGACTAAAACATACTGTAATTAATCTTTACATACATACCACACAGTTCTCATGTTTTTACATATCTAATAACTAGATATTCATAATTACATGCATACACTCAACCTTTTAACATCACATTAAAAATACCACTATACTACCTTTTTAAAAATGAAATATACTTTCTCATGCATAAGTTTATGACACTTAAGTGCAATAAGTGTAAATATCAAAATTTGGGTGTTGGATGTGTAAATACATAAGAATAGTGTAGCATACATGTAAATTCCCAACTTATATCCCTCCACTACCATTCAGGAGAGGAATTCTAACCTTCACCTCAATCCAACTTCTCCCTGGGACCTTCTCAGTTTCCCTCTTTGGTAAGCTTCTAACTTTAGACCTCTTATCCCACAAACCAGCATCTGCATATAGAGCAGAAGACAGGGCACGAGCTGAAATATCATGGCAATCATCCTTGAGAATATATTTTGCTGCAAGCTTTCCTATGCTCAAATCGCCATGGGTCTTACAGCCAGCCAAAAGACTGCGCCAAATTACAGTATTTGCTTCCATAGGCATGCTCTTGATGAATTTGTAGGCCCTTTTAGTCTGCCCAGCTCGAGCAAAAAGATCAACCATGCATGCATAGTGCTCAATCCTTGGAATTATCCCTTTGATTTTCATACGTTGAAAAAGGATCTCCCCTCGGTCAACAAGACCAACACGGGCACAAGCAGAAAGGATTCCAATGTATGTAATCTCATTTGGGAGAATGCCTTCTTCTTCCATTCTATCAAACATTTCTAGAGCATTCATGCCAAATCCATGCTGAGCATAACCAACAACCATACTGTTCCAAGAGACCAAGTTTACTGAAGGCATCCTGCTAAAAACCCGAAGAGCATAGTTCAGCCATCCGCACTTTGCATACATGTCAATCAACGCACTTCCGACGACAACATTGGCATCAAAAAGAAGTTTAAGCATACGACAATGTGTCTCAAGCCCCCATTCTATAGCAGGAAGCTCAGCACAGAGACTAAGAAGACTTGAGTAAGTGCATATATTTAACTCTTTGGATTGAAATAACATTTCCTTCAAAAAATTTGCAGCTCCACTAAGATCACCATGTCTGATAAATGCAGCAAAAATAGCATTCCATGATATGATATCTTGCTC